CACAAACATACTCACTATTAAGCACTATGTGATATGTACTCAAGAATGCCCTTGGAATTCAGCTGAACACAGCAAGAAATAAAAGGCATAGGGGTTATAAATCTCAATCTTGAGTTTCTTCTCCGATTTTTTTTTTTTTTTTAAATAAGGTGCTATACTAAAGCTGAATCAGGATTTAATCGCCAAGGACAAAAATAAAATTGCAGTAGTCCTCTCTGTTTGTAGATGTATCTGTTAATCAACAAATTAAAAACGGTTTGATTTTATTAGAATTACTGTTCAGAATTATCCTAGGCTTGACTCTCTAGTTAACAGAAGTTGCAAATTCTAATTAACTCTGACAGCCTGGGTTTAAACATTTAGGCTAGAAAATGTTTTCTTCAGTTTTTCATCAGATAAATTTTGGATTCAGTTTATCTTTTGATAGGATTGAACATACCATACCGCTGTACTTCTTTTCAGGAAACTGGTTTCCTCAATTACTTTTCTGCCCTTTGGAATATATGAAAGGAACAGCCGAAACATAAGCAGTCTCATAACTGAACAGAACTTTGTTAATTCAACCCTGATAAATATTGCAGAGGGCATCTCTTAGCAGATCCCACACATCTTATTTTTAGCCCTTGAACTTCGATTGCAAAACTGTTCCAGAACTTCCCCCTCTCCTGATCAGAACACTTGTAGTTTACAGCTTATATTTTTTTCGCAGACAGAGTATAGCAGTTCACGCTACACCAAATTTTTTTGCATTGGCTTTTTCTTCACTTACTCTTGTATCTCCATTAACTTACAATGAGCTTAAGCTTTCCTGCTTTTCAGCATATCACTTCTGTAACTACAAGGGTAGTTGCAGTCCTAGATTTTTTACCAGTACAGGATGTTATTTTTTCAGTTTATTCTTTCAGGAAATTATTTAAACATAAAAGATCTTTTAATCTTTTCTTTTTAAATGTACTTAGTAAAGGACCTGATATATCCAGAAATAAAATTGCTAACAAAAAATATTTATAAATAGTATGCAATGATACCCTCAGTTGTCTCTATAGTTAAAGAAAATAAAGCAGAATAAAATGGACTAAAGTACTTAAGTGCAGTAAGTACAAATAAATAGCAGAGAGAATAAGTATTTTAATACTGTATTAGCTACCTACACAATGCATAAGTCTTAAGAAAAAAAATGTTCACCTTTTACTGCAACTACAAAACTGGATCTTGCTATATCAGACAGTCTCCATTCACAAAAGATCAATGTAATGCACTGAGCAAATGTAAATTACTGTCCAAAAATTTTAATTTCGGTGAAATTTCCCTGCCTGAGCTCTTTATGCTTCACTTCAAAATATAACCAGCATATAGTTATTTACCATTTCAAAGAGAAATGTTTGTATTACATTGCTGAACGTACATTTTTCTTCATTGCCACACTTTGGATTTTTGGTGCTAGAAATACAGCTATAGTGTGCTTGATCTTGACTTAGGCAGAGTTGGACAGACAGTGGTGTTTGAGTTTTGTTGATTCCTCTACCAGCACCCTAACTGTATGTTTTTCTGTGACAGTTTTGAAATCGCAGTCATTGTGGCTGCCAACCTGACTGTACTCTGCTGGCAATACTACTTGCACAGCCACTATCTCACATCTGATGTACCAGCTGGGGCTATATGCTAATGTCACTTTTAGCACAGCAGAGGACAAGCAGATGAGAAGCAATGCTAGTTATAGAATGATCTGGTGGGAAACAGCATGCTCACGTATCATCGTTCTGTTGCACAAGAACATGAAACCCATGCCATCCTAGCTAAACCAGCATAAAGGGAGATATTTGAAGAAGCAAATTATCAAATGTTTGGCTTCAGAAGATAGTGGTTTTTGGTTGCCCACAGGGTCTATGTATGATTCAGTCTCTGTGGTGTCAAAGACACATCTTGAAAAATCAGGCTCAGCATTTCCAAAGCATAGTTAATAGCTGCAGGTATTGTATTATTTTTTTTCTTTCTATCTAAATCCAGGTAGAATTTCAATATTTAATGAATTTCATCATTGCTTTTCCACATTCTGATTGCCAGTTTTCTGAAGAGTCCTTTCCTTCTAATAATTAGGCACTAATTTCACACCCATTAATGTTTATGTTTTCTTATGTTTCCTTCTTCTTTTTCTCTCTTTTCATGGTGTTTAGGATAATGGTATGATGGCCAAAAGGAAATGTGCACATGATACAGTAATGCTTCTGAAATATGTTACTACTAAGTCTCTACCCAAACCAACTGTCTTTACTAGCATATCATTACAATAAATTAATATATATGAAGCATTTGAAGACATCAGCTGCTTACCAAGTGCAAAATTAATGAGGATTGCTAAACACTTACAATCAGTCGACCATCAAAGTGCTTACAGGACCCCATCTTTATGTAGTACCTCGTTGACATAAGAGACTAGAGGTCTCTGGTTTTGCATGACTGACTGCAGATGATCACCAAGAAATGTGACATCACACAGAATAAAATAAAAATAAAAAATAATAAAAAATAAGCTAAAATAGTTTGTATTTTAAAGGAAAAACACAAACAATTGTTATTTTTTCAAACCTGAAAAGCTTGGAACGGCCAGGAAAGCACCTCCAGCACCCACTGCAAGGCAGCAAGAGAGCGCCCCCCCCAACCCGGAAGGGCCAGATCCCGTGACTGCTGTAATGTACAGGGATAGGTAGCTGGGATTGGGGCAGTGACACTTTAATGCCCCGTACACTACATGATGTTTTGATGTGGAATACTGAAACCATAAAAACATAGAACCATGACAGATAAAAAGAAGGTTACTGTATTAGGAGAACGTGGGAGGGATGAATCCATTTGAGCAAATAGCATCTCCCTAACTGTGGAGAGTTATCCTCTTAGTCTTGGATAGTTACTAAGTGGCGATTGTATTTAATCACACCTCTTGATTGTAACCAAACATCTTAAACTGGAGTTTTTAGAAATTAATTACTTATAAGCAGTTTGATTGTGAAGAGAGAATGGGGGGAGGAACACTTACTTATATTTTTTCTAAGTAAAATCCGACTTCTGCAATTCTCAGTAGCTTGTCCAGAGAGAAAGCCACCATATCTAACAATTTGATAAACCTAGGAAGTGACAAAGGTTTCATTTCTTATACAACTATCTTAATAAATGCACACACACACACGAAAAAAAGTCTTCAGCCAGATGTCTTTCAGACTGGTATGCTTTCTGATATGCAAACTACTTGGGAATGACCACTGGTGGGAGGCTTTTCATAATGCTAATTTACACTGAAATGTGTCCCTTTGGAGTGTAATTTTTTTTTTTTTTAATGTAGAATCAAAAAAACTTTGAAAGCAGTCAGTGTATTTTTGGGGTTTTTTCGTCACAAAAGTGAAGATGTGTTCATTGTTTCTATATGTGGAGTTGCTGGTTCTAAAGTTGTAGTCAGGTTTGTGCCATCTTGGCTGGCACGGATGCTCACATGTGCTTAAAAAAAACAACACCAAACAAAACAACCCACTGTCTCAGATGAATGTCTGGAGTGACCATTTTCTGTTCTTTACTCATGGATGTTAACAAGTGTGTGACCTCAAATGAATATTAGCTCTTTAAGAAGTTTATGTTAATTAATAAAATTTTCTATATTCACTTGTCATAAAAACAAATATGCTAGCTATGTCTGAAATAAGGCAGCTTTTTCTTTTTCCTTAATTGAAATCAGGTGTCTTCCAGTAAACCTTGAGGAGAATGAGCTGAAAGGAGTTCGCAGGGATGGAGTGAAAACTGGGAAAAGCCTGCCTGATGTTGATCCAGTGCAAATCGATCGTTCGGTGAGTGGTTTAATTTGCTGCGTCGGTGTTTGTGAAGGCTTTCAGGAATGGGCCATCTGCAGCTATGCTTGATGGTTTTCTGTCAAGCAACTTCAGCAACAGCCCAGAACATTTCCTTGTTGCTGATGTATAACTTTTGGTGACACCTTCATCCAAATTGCTAACTTTGTTAACAACGTGTGTTCTGTTGAATTGATCTTCAGATGGGATTTGATGCCGTGGGTGGTCTTTCTGACCACATTTCAGCTTTAAAAGAGATGATCTTTTTCCCCCTGCTTTATCCGGAGGTGTTTGAGAGATTCAAAATTCAGCCTCCAAGGTAACTGATAGAAACTATTAGCTTCTCTTCACAATGTTTTTTTTTTCCTATCTGAATCGTTTTTTATTGCAGAGGATGTCTCTTCTATGGTCCACCAGGAACTGGAAAGACCCTGGTTGCACGAGCCCTTGCAAATGAGTGTAGCTAGGGGAAAAGGAGAGTGGCTTTTTTCATGAGAAAAGGTGCCGACTGCCTTAGTGAATGGATTGGAGAATCCGAAAGGCAACTTCGTTTATTATTTGATCAGGTAAGATTGAAATATGCAGTATATTCCATTCCTAGTTGAAGAATTATTAAGAGCATCCTCTTTTGGGTACTTTGTTAGGGTTGTTGGTGGCTTTTTTCCCCACTGAAATAGGAATGTCAGCGTTTGCTTTTTCAGTGCCTCCATAGTTTGGATCAGAGACTTGAAATGGGAAAAGATCAAAGTGAGAAAAGCTTTCAAAGCAAAAAAATTTCCTCCCACCAGAACAGCCGCAGAGAAGGCTGCAAGAGGCAAGAGATGATGGCTTTAGATCAGAGGGAAACAGATGCGGTCTGAAAGCAAGGTTATTTAAATTCATAGAGGAGGCTTGCTTCCACAACCTGTAATTGAATTAAGTTCTGATTGTTCTTTATGGCTGCCAAATAGCTTTAGCAACTACTGGAATGAGTTGTTTCCTGTCACCTGGTCACGGTAGGTTGATGTAGACTGATGCTTTCTGTTACTTACGTCAGATACTCCGAGTCAATAAGTAGAGATCCCTGATGTTACTCTAAAAAAAATCTGGTTGCAGTGACATGCCAACCATAATGTCTTTCATGTGTTTTCTCTTGAAACAGTGCTGTTTTACACTTACAGTATTACTGATTTTCACTCTAGGCATATCGCATGAGGCCTTCAATTATTTTCTTTGATGAGATTGATGGTCTTGCTCCAGTCCGGTCCAGTAAACAAGACCAGATTCATAGGTATTATGTTTTCCATGTCTACGTAGAATCTGCTGGGAGTGGGAGGGCGATGATGACCACTTTGTATTACTCATTAATTTATCCTGAAAACTTGTAGCTCGGTGCTCCTAAACTTGAGATTATTTGAGACAACAGTTGAAAACAATTCACTTGCTCAATACGAGCACAAGGTCTGTGTTACCTGATCTATTTTTGTCTGTCTTAAAATGAGTCACTGATGAGCATCATCAACAGAATTGTGTCCTTTTTTGAGGACTCGCTGCAGAAAGTAATAGAATCAAAGAATTGCTCAGGTGGGAGAAGACCTTCGAGATCATAAAGTCCAAACACAGCCTAATTATACTACCCTAACTAACAAGCCATTGCAAAATCAAGTCCCTGAGCACCACATTCAAATGGTTTTTAAACACGTTCAGGGATGGAGACTCAGCACCTCCCTAGGGAGCCTATTCCAGCGCTTTACAACCCTTTCAGTAAAGATATCCAACCTAAACCTCCCCTGCTGCAACTCGAGGCCATTTCCCCTCATCCTGTCACCTGCCACCAGTGAGAAGAGGCCAACCCCACTCACTGCAATCTCCTTTCGGATATCGGAGAAGAGCCATAAGGTCTCCACTCAACCTCCTCTTCCCCAGGCTAAATGGCCCCAGTTTCTTTAACTAGCTTCTCATAGGCCATATTCTCCAAGCCCTTCACAAGCCTACTTGGCTTTCTTTAGACCTGTTTCAGCAAGCTCAGTGTCCTTTCTGTATTGAGGTGCCCAGAGCTGAACACAACACTAAGTCATGTGGATTGTATCAAAACTTACTGAACCGGTGAATAAAAATTGTATTTTTTCTATCAGCTCCATCGTATCAACGCTTCTGGCACTCATGGATGGGTTGGACAGCAGAGGGGAGGTGGTTGTCATTGGTGCCACCAACCGACTGGATGCCATCGATCCAGCGTTACGAAGACCTGGACGCTTTGATCGAGAATTCTTCTTTGGCCTCCCAAATAAAGAGGTCAGAAAGTAAATACAACCTTAATGCTAATGTGACAAAGTCCAATTTCATAGCAAAAAGTTGTGCAGATTGGATGAAAGGCTGATATCTGGAGACACTTCCATACTGAGCAGAGCAAATCTGCTGCTGAATATATATGATGACAACTTCAACAAGTAGTTCACTCTACATTAATTTTGGTTTCACTGTGACTAGTCAAGAAAAACAGGATGTTGCTTGTCACAGGCATGTTTTAAGAAGGAATGAAAATGCAAGTTGGCTTTAAACTAAATCCCAGCTTTCCTGTAGACCTTCTTCAGCTACTATAAGATCTCCCTGGAGACTTCTTTATGCTGAAAAGCCTCAATTCTCCCAGCCTGTCCTCATAGAGGAGATGCTTTGCCCTCTGATCGTCTTTGTGGCCCTCTGGACTTGCTCCAGCAGCTCAGTGTCCTTCTTGTGTTGTCACCCCAGAACTGGACACAATACACCAGGTGGGATCTCACAAAAGCAGAGCAGGGGGGCAGAGTCACCCCTCTCAACCTGCTGGTTGCACTTCTTTCAATGCATGCCAGTATACAAATGGCCTTCTGGGCTGCAAGTGTGCATTGTGAGCTCACGTTGAGTCTTTCATCAACAAGCATTCCCAAATCCCTCTCTGCTCTCAAGCAATTCTCCACCCAGCCTGTATTTGTACTTGGGACTGCCCCAACCCAGGTGCAGGGCCCTGTGCTTGGCCTTGTTGAACTTCATGAGGTTGGCGTGGGCTCACCTTTTAAGCCTGTCCAGGTCCCTGTGGATGGCATCCTTTCCCTCTACCGTGTCAACTGCACCAAACGTTTAGCAGATAAGCAAACTGTTTGTAGTATTATGAAGCTTTTGAGGGAGTGCTGTTTCTTTAGTTGTTGCTGTTTTTAGAAAAACATAGGACAAAATCAAACGCAACAATTTTTTGTTCCCAGGCTAGAAAAGAAATTCTCAAGATCCATACCCGTGACTGGACTCCTAAGCTGTTGGACACCTTTATAGATGAGCTTGCTACAGAATGTGTTGGTAAGACTGAAAACAAAACGTGTTAGTGACTGTGACTGAGTTCCAAGGAGTCTTATCTTGTACCCAGCGGTACCCAAGCTGCTGTGCTGTGCTGCAGAACCAGTCCATTAGGCAGCTGGCGTGCCTTCGCAGCAGTCAAAATCAGCTGCTTTCATCTGCATCCCTTTTGTTGTTGTTGTCACTGTTGTCTCAGAACATTGAATGGGTTTGAGGCATCTTGCCCCAGAACAAAGTTGTGATTAGGAAACTGTTTCATAGGCCTTGGATACCAGGCAGTCAGTCACAGAACAAAACTTCCCTGCTGTGCAGTAATAGCTTAAATTCTCTGTTAACCCACGCGGATTCTTTAAATGTTGCACCTTGGAAACCTGGACTTTGGCTCATGTTTTTGCCTGAGACTGATGTAACCCTTAATTCTTTGTTTATTTAGGGTACTGCGGGGCTGATATAAAATCTTTGTGTGCTGAGGCTGCTCTCTGTGCCCTCCGCCGACGCTATCCTCAAATCTACTCCAGTAATGAGAAATTGCAACTGGACGTGAATTCTATTCAAATAAAAGCCGAAGATTTTATGATGGCTCTGCAAAAAACCGTTCCGGCGTCACAGAGGGCTGTGCCATCACCGGGCCAAGCACTGTCACCTCTTATGGCACCACTACTAGGAAATACACTCTCAAGAATCTTACAAGCCCTACAAAGGGTATTTCCTCATGCAGAGCTTGCACTGAAGAAGGACCAGATCCACCCGAGAGTGCTGAGGGAACTGGTGGAGGTGATAGCCGAGCCGCTTTCCATCATCTGTCAACGCTCCTTGTTGACTGGTGAGGTCCCAGAAGACTGGAGGCTTGCCAATGTGACTCCCATTTATAAGAAAGGTCGTAAGGAGGATCCAGGGAACTACAGGCCTGTTAGCCTGACCTCGGTGCCAGGGAAGGTTATGGAGCAGATTGTCTTGAGGGAGATCATGCGGCATGTGCAGGACGACCGGGGATCAGGCCTAGCCAGCATGGGTTCGTGAAGGGCAGGTCCTGTTTGACCAACCTGATCTCCTTCTATGATCTAGTGACCCACCTGGTGGATGAGGGGAAGTCTGTTGATGTGGTCTACCTAGACTTCTGCAAAGCCTTTGACACTGTCTCCCACAGCATTCTCCTGCAGAAGCTGGCAGCCAGAGGCTTGGATGGGTACACTCTTGGCTGGGTAAGCAGCTGGCTGGAGGGCCGGGCTCAGAGAGTGGTGATGAATGGAGTCAAATCCAGCTGGCGACCGGTTGTGAGTGGTGTTCCCCAGGGGTCGGTGCTGGGGCCTGTCCTCTTCAATATCTTTATTGATGACCTCGATGAGGGCATCGAGTGCACCCTCAGTAAATTTGCAGATGACACCAAATTGGCTGGAAGTGTGGATCTGCCTGGGGGTAGCGAGGCCCTACAGAGGAACCTAGACAGGCTGGAGAGCTGGGCTGAAGCCAATAGGATGAGGTTCAACAAGGCCAAATGCCGGGTCCTGCACTTCGGCCACAAAAACCCCAGGCGACGCTACAGGCTTGGGGCGGTGTGGCTGGAGGACTGCGTAGAGGAAATGGACCTGGGGGTATTGACTGATGCTCGGCTGAACATGAGCCGACAGTGTGCCCAGGTGGCCAAGAAGGCCAAGGGCATCCTGGCTTGCATCAGAAACAGTGTTGCAAGCAGGAGCAGAGAGGTGATTGTTCCCCTATATTCAGCACTGGTGAGGCCGCACCTCGAGTACTGTGTCCAGTTTTGGGCCCCTCACTGCAAGAAAGATATTGAGGCCCTGGAACGTGTTCAAAGGAGGGCAACAAAGCTGGTGGGGGGTCTGGAACACAGGCCATATGAGGAGAGGCTGAAGGAGCTGGGAATGTTCAGCCTGGAGAAGAGGAGGCTCAGGGGAGACTTCATTGCTCTCTATAACTTCCTGAAGGGAGGCTGCAGTGAGCTGGGGGTCGGCCTCTTCTCTCGTGTCATTAGTGATAGGACCAGAGGGAATGGCTTCAAGCTACGGCAGGGGAGATTCAGGCTGGACATTAGGAAGTATTACTTGTCAGAAAGGGTGGTCAGGCACTGGAATGGACTGCCCAGGGAGGTGGTGGAGTCAGCGAGCCTGGGGGTGTTCAAGGAAAGGCTGGATGTTGTGTTGAGGGACATGGTTTAGTGGGAGCTATTGGGAATAGGTGAACGGTTGGACTGGATGATCTTTTAGGTCTTTTCCAACCTTGGTGATTCTATGATTCTATGAACTCTGTCATCTTACCAGCAGTTTCAATGCAAGGGTATGAAGGAGGAGGTTTCTGCCATTTCCCATTTGCATCCTTCATATGAGATCTGTCTGAAGCAAATGTCTTCAAGTACAAATCTGCTCAAATCATTCTGATCTTCCTAAACAATAATAATGAAAAACATCAAATAAATAAATAAATAAATAAATAATATTGAAATGGTGAAAAATTGTATCAAATGATGTGTGCATGTAATACCACTGTCACATATTTGTTAGTCATAGTTATTAATTAGGCATTCTGAATAAGAGCTCTTCTTCCTCTTGAACAGCATTAATTTAGTTAAACACTTAACTCACAAACACTGTGCCAAGCAGCAAACTAGCTCCCAAGAAACTAGAGCAGGGAAGAGAAGGGCTTACGATAACTAAAAGATGGCAACCCCTAGGTAAAGAGCTTTAGAGACATAACGCAGTGCATTTAGCTTCCTGAAATATAGCAGAAACTTCTGTCGCTGTCTATCCACAGACAGAACTTCAACTTAAGTCTCCAGGAAATACCATCCGTGGTCTTTATTTTTTTTGTCAGCACCTGTGCAACTCTGGATGAAGGCTGTCATCCGGCCTCAAGGCCTCCGCGCTGTACATCTCAAAAGGACACGGAAATGGCAACACAGTGTCAAGGTCATGAACGAAGTTCTGCTCTCCACCCGGAACGTGAAGTAGGATA